TGGGCACAAGCTGCATCAATCAGCACCCCCAGGTCCTTTTCCACTGCAGCTGAAGGGGCTGTGCGTGAGCAGTATGTTCCAGCCAAGGCATACTGACCCAGGGCCTGCCATGGCTGTAGTCTCCTGGGCACACTGAGCTGGGCAGCACCATGGTGGCTCTGGGAATGTGCCAATAGATTTGATTTTTCTTCTTTCCAAGAAGAAAAACCAACGGAGTGGCCCCAACGCATCTGCTCCACCTGGATGGACCCTCCTGGTCTGATCTCCACCACTGGGAAAATGACCCTGTGGTGTCACCAAGGCAATGGGGACACACATGAACCAGCACTGACCTGCAAGCATAAGGGCTTGAGCACAGGAAACCCATGCCAGGCACATGCCAAAGCAACTGGGGCTCTTGGTGCTGGTGGGACCAGCCTGAGCTCCCACCCCAGCTGTGGGACAGGCCCTGTGGTGCAGGACGAGGATGGATTCAGGGATGCTGGTGGTACTGCTGGGCACCGATCCCTCCAGCAGCTGTTCACCAGCAGTAGTGTCCCATCTGGAGCAAAAAAACCAGCGGGCCCCAGCCCAAACCCGCTCCCCTGGGAATGACCTGGCCCTCGGCGCCGTGCCCAGAGGCAGCTCAGCCCATTTCACACTCCAACAACTCACAAAGCCCAGCCTTGTGCCTGCCAGGCGCCGGGTGCCAGCCGGGATGTGCAAAGAGCCCCGCGGCCGCCCCAGCGGCTGGGCGCAGGAATGGTTCCCTGGCAACCCAAAACCCCTCATCCCACCACCCAGACCCACATTTCTTCACATTCTGGGAGAGCATCTGGGAGAGCATTTCCTGACACCTCTGGCTCCTGACACCTCTGGGAATGACATGGAGGAGATAAAAATCTTTGTGCACACCCCAGGTACTTTAGCATCATCCTGATGCAGAGCTGAGAGGACCCCCTGCACGAAGAGGACATTGTTCTGCCTTCCTCACGGAAATCATCCCTTTTTAGCAAAATTATACACTGCTGACAAAAGCATGAGTTTGCACGTAGTCACAGGGAGCAGTCCCGAGCCTAGAGTGCATCCATATGGCACAGCTCACCCCGCAGTTACAGTGCTGCTGGGGACACTGCTTGGGCAGGGCTGCATCCCGAGCATCCTGGTCCCCACATTCCCAGTGCTGTGCCAGGGTCTCAGAAGTTTAATCCATGTGCTGGTGTCTGGCACTGTGCTGAAAGCAGCATCAGCACCCACCTCCCTCCTCCTCTGCTGCCAAAGGTGGACACGATGCCCTGGGCTGAGCTGCTGCCGGGCCCCTCTGGCTCTTTCAACAGCACAAGGGGTTGGTGGAGACTCCAAAAAAACACCCAAAATCCAAACGCTCCTTGTTTATATGCCCTGAGTGAAACACTGTCACGGGCAGGATGCCAGCTCCGAATCCCTCTTCTGCCATCACCCCTACAGTTAATGATGGGAAAATCCAAGCAACACCAGCACTGTGGGAGCTGTCTGTACGCCCTGGGCAGAGGGAAATGCTTTCCTGCCTTTCCACACAGTCTCACACTGGACAAAACCACCAGGGAATGCAAGCAGGATATCCAATATCCCTTGTGCCCCTTCCCTGGGCTGGAGGAGGGCTGAGGGGCTCTTCCCAGGGGCGAGGAAGACCTTGGCCAGAGGCGTAGCTTGCAGCAGGGGCACCCTGTGGATGCCATGCCTGTGAGGCTTTTTGCTATTCTGGGATGTGGTTTTCTCTCTCTTTTTGGCTAGAAATTCCACCCTGGACTTAAAAACCCCCAAGCAAACCACTGCTTTGTCGACAGCATTTGTTTTTGCCAAACAGACATTTCCTACAGCAAAATCCCTCCCTTGCTAAGGGCTCCATGAGCACGTCCTTTCCGTCCCTTCCAAAACTCATTCCAATTATTGCCCATGAGTGCTTCCACCAGAGGAAACCTCTCATCTGGGAACCATGAAGGAGCCTTGGGGTGCACCCCAAGCACGCCCACCGTGCCTCACTTACTAGGTGCCATGAAAGCCGGGGTGGCAGAGGCACCGGCCTGTCTCGAAGTGGCTCTGGCCATTGACACAGTCGCTGCAGACGAAGGCGCAGTTCTCCCCATATGTCCCATTCCAGCATTTCGTTTCACACCTGAAATGAGAGAGATGAGGGCAGGCGATGGAACACCCATGGAGCCTGGGGAGTGCCAGCATCCATCCTCCCCCCCGCCCTCCTGCCTGCATGTTATCAGCCCTGTTTGGGTGCTCAAAGCCCTGGAACCAATCCGGGGTACAACAGCCTGTGGGAAAGCATCCCAGCTTGAGAGCTGAGCCCGGCCACGAGCACCCAGCAGTGCACAGGGGCATGGGACAGGGGTTTCACAGGCTCCCTCCAGTCCCACGGCTGTGCCAGTGGGCTCAGCCCCTCCCTGCCCTCCCCTTCTGCCTGCAGAAAGCCAGGCAGGGAGCAGCAGGGATGCTGGGCATCACCTGCTGCAGCCTGTGGGAAAGCATCCCAGCTTGAGAGCTGAGCCCGGCCACGAGCACCCAGCAGTGCACAGGGGCATGGGACAGGGGTTTCACAGGCTCCCTCCAGTCCCACGGCTGTGCCAGTGGGCTCAGCCCCTCCCTGCCCTCCCCTTCTGCCTGCAGAAAGCCAGGCAGGGAGCAGCAGGGATGCTGGGCATCACCTGCTGGGTCCCGACTGCAGCCAGTTGCACTCACCGGTCTCCGATCCAGCCGGGGTTGCAATGGGAGCACTTGCCGTTGATGTGGTTGCAGGTGTGACCATCCTTGCAGGAGGGACAGACCTTCTCACAGCCCTCTCCGTAGAAGCCGGGCGAGCAGGGCTGGTCGCACTTGGTGCCGTTCCAGCCCGCCTCACAGGTCAGGCAGCGCCCGTCCGCCACAGTGCACGGCTG